GGAATGTGTGTGAGGGGTTACTTATAGCAGCAGCAATGACTCAAAGCAGCATCAGCAAAGCCCACTCCAGCATGGGTGAAGCTCACTGCACAGAATACAGGCACGTTATCGGGTTGGAGTGTTCTTTCTTGGTGCCTCAGTTGTTGTAACCGTCTTCCAGGCAGCTTGGCTTGTCCTAGAATCTTCATTCCAACTCTTTTCCTATTGCTTACTCTGGCAGGGAGAGGACAAAGAGAATCTGGTCTGAAGCTATTTTGAGTTGTTTCTCTTCCTAATTAAGTTTCCCTGCAGGATAGAATGTTTCAGTCTCAGAGGAAACTGTTCCGCAACACCTGTCGTCTAGAAGACAGAATTCTTGGCTACATTGTTGCACGCAAAGGGGGCCAGATGCCCTCATGAAGAGAAAAGGCAAACACAGAGCAGAAAGTGACCACCGAAGCAGAGATTAAATGATGTAGCAGCAAGTCACAGGACATGGGTATCCTCTAGAAACTGGAAAAGCAAGGAAGGGATAGATTCTTCCGACAGCTGCAGAACTAAAAGCCTTTCCCTACAGACCTGATTTCAGTCCTGAAGACCTGTTTTTCCTAAGATACCTTATTATCCTAGATTTACTTCATGAAACAGTTTGAAAATTCGTTACTGCAGAACACCTACCATTTCCATACAGCTTATTTGCTGTGCTATCCATAACACAGAGCAGCAAAATCTTTACATTAGAGGAGCTCAGGAAACACATTTAAATCCAACCATGTGGGCTAAATCTGTCATCTGCAAAGACATTATGAGGCTTGCAATTTTGAAAACCAATAAGACTGTAGCCAGAGCCTACCTGCCAGAGCAGTTACACTGTGTTCCATTTCCCAGGAGAACCAGTCCGGCCACTTCTGTGAGATGGGCAGCACTGGGAGGTGTGTTCCCATAATCAGTAGCACTGTGCTTAACAGACCATGCCACAGGAAGGTGCACTGGGATAGCCCAAATCCCAAGTAAATCCCAGCTAGATAAAAAAAAAAAATCATGAAATTAAATGTAAGTTTGTAAGGGTCTTGCCAACACTACAGACTGGGGAGACCACAGCAAGATTCATTCTGAGTATCACACAGATGTGGAACCAAACAGACTTTCACAAAGAGGCATTCCCCACCCCCCTTAGGTAGGCCTCAAACTGCAGCTGAAGATGACCTGGAACTTTAGATCCTCTATTAAAGTTCTTGGGATTTATTTCGTGCAGACTGCACTATAAGGAAATGTCCTAGTTAGTGTTTCTATTGCTGTGATGAAACACTATGACCAAAAGAAGGTTGGGGCAGAAAGGGTTTATCTGGCTTACATATCACTGTTCATCATCAAAGGAAGTCAGGACAGGAACTCAAAGAGGCAAAAGCTAATGCAGAGGCCATGAAGGGGTGCAGCTTACTGGTTTGTTCCTCATGACTTGTTCAGCCTGCTTTCTTTCTTTTTTTTTCTTTCTTTTTTGGTTTTTTCGAGACAGGGTTTCTCTGCAGCTTTGGAGCCTGTCCTGGAAATAGCTCTTGTAGACCAGGCTGGTCTCGAACTCACAGAGATCCGCCTGCCTCTGCCTCCCAAGTGCTGGGATTAAAGGCATGCGCCACCACCGCCCGGCTGGTTTTTTTTTTTTTTTTTTTTTTTGAGACAGGGTTTCTATGTAGCTTTAGAGGCTGTCCTGGAATTAGCTCTTGTAGACCAGGCTGGCCTCGAACTCACAAAGATCTGCCTGCCTCTACCTTCAGAGGACTAGGATTAAAGGCAAGCTCTACCACTGACTGCCTGCTTTCTTATAGAACCTAGAACCACCCTATCAGGGGTAGCTCCACCCACAATGGGCTGGGCCTTCCCACATCAATCACTAATTAAGAACAGGTAAATAAAAGCCCAGGGGCTGTAGGCTTGCCTACAGCTTGATCTCATGGAGGCATTTTCTCAACTGAGGCTCTTTCCTCTCTGATGACTCTAGTTCGGGTCAAGTTGAGGTAAAACTGGCACAGCGAGTAACGTAGAGAGTGTGCGTTACTTTTACCTCCTTATTCGACAAATGTATGACATTGCATTTAAACTATATTAATTCTTACACACAGGCTTAAACTTCCTAAATGGTGCTCTAAATTCTTGTTGGTTAACTCATGCTGTCAAGGAATTCTCCCCCCAACACTAGGATTTCAGTGTAGCCCTAGCTCTCCTGGCACTCCCCCTGTAGACCAGACTGCCCTTGAAATCAGAGATCTGCCTGCCTCTGCCTCCCACATGCTGGGACTAAAGCTTTGAGCCACTATATATAGCTGGAGCTGCTTAAACTAGCTTGTGAGCTGAATGGTCTAATTACAGGTGTTTTATGACCAAGTGACCTCAAGCTGGCAATTTAAATTGGCCGTTTGCAAGAAAACTGGGAAATGCTACCCATCTATCCTGGATTCAGTATTTTGGAATTAATTGTACTCAAGTAAATGTAGACCAATTGGAATATATTCTTTTTTAAAATTTTTTTCTTAATTTTTTATTTAACTTTTTATGCATTGACATCAGATCCCCTAGACCTGGAGTTACAGACAGTTGTGAGATGCCATGTGGGTGCTGGGAATTGAACCCGGGTCCTCTAGAAGAGCAGTCAAAACACTTAGCCACTGGGCCAACTCGCCAACCCTGGAATATATTCTTATAATTACCTCCAGATCAACCACTTAATAAAAGCTGCCCCCCAAAAGAGTCAAATAGACATCTAGATCAGCAATGTTTCTCCCGCTGAACATTTTAGACAGAGGCTGTATGGCCCATTGGACCCCTGTCCTTGGAGGAAGTTTACAGATCCCTGTCTATATTGACAGCAGTCCTTTGTAACTTATGACTCTGTCACTTTAACATCATGGTGGTGGGCAATTGATGACACCCTATCTTGACTGTGGTGGTCGTTTTGATTGTCGACCTGATTATATACACCAAAGCCATCAGTGAGGCTCATGTTTGGCTGTACTAATCTTTTGATTAAAGCAATGAAGAATACACTAAATACTTCATAAATTATGGCATATTGCTAAAATTCCTTCCCAGGGGACAACATAAGCAATGGCTACCCCTTCCAAGGTCTCAGCAACAATGAATTGATTCCACCAAAATTCATTTGGGAGAAGCCGTGAGTTTACTAAACTTCCTAACAGAACAGAGGTGAGGGGCTCCTTATGTGGACACAGGTGCTCCTGGAAAGCCTTTATGCAGCAGTGATGAGTCCCCTCCTCTAAGTTTCTTCAGGGCCTATTTATCTTCCTTGGGGCCGTGTGCAATTAGGGCAGCATTGCAAAAAAGTTGGTGGTTGGGAAAGGCTAGATACCACTCCATGATGGGGTGTAAGAGTCAAGGCCAGAAAGGATCAACCTTTTCCAAAAGAATGCAGCTGAACTCCCCAAGGTGGCAGTTGCTTGCTTGGCTGGAGGACAGTCATTCACAACATGCTATATTAGAAATTTTTAGGAATCAATATCGGCTGGGTGGTGGTGACACTCGCCTTTGATCCCAGCACTCAGGAGGCAGAGGCAGGTGGATTTCTGTGAGTTCGAGGCCAGTCTGGTCTACAGAGTGAGTTCAAGAATAGTCAGGGCAACACAGAGAAACGGCCTCGAAACACACACAATTACAGGGCTATTCGATATGTACACCGTTAGAGGTTATCTACAGTGGATTTGTTAGAGCACGGGAATTCAAGTTCCTAACGGGCAAGGGAGTGAATGAAGACTTCCAGGGGATATGAGAATAAAGAAAGGGGAAGTGAGGACATTGTAGGCATGAGAGGCAACCTAGGGAGAATACAGCATGAAGGAAAACCAGACAGGAACAGGGAACTAGTGAGGTTGGGAAGAGATCTGGCTTAAATATACAGGAGAAAATTCCAAAATGCTTGCTTGCCCAACGGTGAAACTTTCTACCCCGAGAAGTAATAATCTTCTCACACCTAGACATAAGGCTTGTAACTTCTTCCTGTTACCGAACAATGCTGGCAGACGTTTAAGTGATATCAAGTGATACCTGTATTGCAATTTACACCTTCAAAACTCTGACCCAGATTTCAAAGGGCTCTGCTAAGAAGTGTTTATGCAACAGTAGTTAATCATAGAACAGGGTTCGATGGCCCAAGAGCAAAACTATGGAATGTCTCTGCATATTTGGGTCACAGTATGCTGTCAGAGTTCCCATTTGTGCAATGTTGATTCATAGAAATGCCGTGGGACTAACACTTATTTGTACCTACACTACACTGGAAATACTTTTTCAACCTGAAGGCACCTCGTGCCTGAGAGGTACTGTAACGTAATTGGACGGACTACTAAAGGCACATATCAGCTAGGCTAAATCCTGCCCACAGGGTGGACAGTCTTGGGCATCCTGTTTCTGCCCCACACAGCTCGGAAGACAGACAAGGGCGGCTCTATTTTCCGACCAAACCGGTTTGACTGCAGGACGGGAAGCCCTGGCCTCACTGAAACAATGAGTGCCGTCGATGGCGCTGGAGGTCCCCAGTTACCCTGAAGCCCCTTCCCCTGCAGGGACTTAGGACAAGCCCAGCCCCTCCCACCTGGGCAAACGCCACGCTACTTTGCAGGTCTTTGCAGGCCTTTGTCCCCGGGGCCCGGTCTGGAGGATCCTAGGACAGTGAGCGCCAGGGCCAGGCCGTTTCTAGCAAGTTCGCTGGCCGTGACGTCATCTCCGTGCACCCTCACGGTCCCTTCCAGAAACCCGGGCTAATCTCTTCTAACTAAAAGCCGGAGAAGCGAGCTGAGGTGCGCTCTCCCGCCGCACCCAAGCGCTCTTTCCGCACCGGAGGAGGCCGCGCTTCGCCCACCAGCCAAGAAAGCCACGCCGACCCCGGCGACGATGACTCGGCTCCTTCGCCAAGGCGCTTCCCGGCGTGCCTCGCGCCCCGGCCGCCAGGAGTCGGCGCGGTGGCCAGCGCGTTACCCAGCGTGCCCCGCGCGGCGCCGGCGACGGGCGTGGGGGAGGTGTGGGAGGAGGAAGCGACGGTGGCGGTGGCGGCGGCGGCGACGCGGAGAGAGTCCGCGTCCACACGGCAGCCGATCGCCCGACTCGGGGCCTGCACTCGCAGCGCGCGTCTCCACGCCCTCGGCGACCCCCGCAACCTGTCGCGCCCCGCCGACGCGGCCGCAGCCCCTCAGTGTCCCGGTCGCCTGAGTCACCGCCATGGCCGAGAGCGCGGAGAGCGGCGGCCCCCCGGGCGCGCAAGACAGCGCGGCCGACGGCGGCCCCGCAGAGCCCAAGATCATGAAGGTCACGGTGAAGACGCCGAAAGAGAAGGAGGAGTTCGCTGTGCCCGAGAACAGCTCGGTCCAGCAGGTGAGGAGGCCCCGGGCCCGGCGGCCGCCGTGTCGCCGGCGGGGTGGGAAGGGCGGCCGGGCCGGGTCGGGCGGCGGCCCCGCCGGCTTCGGCTGCGTGAGCTCTGCGGGGTCTGGGGGGCCGCGCGGCCTGGGCTGGGCTGCGCCGCGACCGCCGAGCCCCGGGCCTCGGGACCCCACTTCTCACAAAGGAGCCGGGCGCTGCGGGGAGGCAGGGCGCGGGCGGCGCTCGGCCTTTGCCCAGGCTGGGTAGGGGGCTGTGGTCATTGTTTTACCTGCTTGCCAATCGGAGAGATTTGGGGGTGAGAAGCACGTGGAGGTTTAGTTCTGGGTTTTGAGTGCTGAAGTCTTTTTCTACTTTTCAGCCTTTTATATATAAAAATTGTGACGTGGGAATTGTTTTCAATCACATTGTAAAAGCTCACTCCTGAAGGAGAAAGTAAATGACTTTGATTCATAGGCGACTTACTGTTTCTGTTTCAATCCGTTCGTCATCACTTAGCTGCCAGCCATTGGATAGGTTTTTGTTTGATTTTAGGGAACGGGAGCATTACCTGGCTGGGTATCAGTAGTTGCAACCGAACGCAAGAAAACAAAGTTGGTGTTGATGGGAAAGCTTACAAAACAGATAATTGCTTTAAACTCTGTCCAGGAAAACAAAATTTGCAACTAATTAAGAGCCTTGGTAGAATTCATCAAATTTATCTTTTCAACATATTCTAGAGCCCTTGAATTGTTGACAGTCTCCAACACTGTGAGCAGTTTTGTGCGAAGACGCAATTTACTACCACGGGCATGTACCTTTAAGTTCTCAGAACGGTTATCTAGTTCCAAAGGTGAAGTCGTGTTTTGTGAAGCGGGAGGACGTGTGGCATCAGCTGAAACTCTTGTTGACTGAATCATCGTTCCTTGTTTGTCAACGCAGCTAAAAGTTGGCCATCTTTGTGTTTCCCAGCATGTGTGTGCCTCACCCACGGTTGACGTTTTCCCGCATTCGCTGTGCTGTGCGTCTCTTAGTTCTAAAATACACTTTAAAGTTGTAAAGATCGCTCTTACCTTAGGAGGCTCATAAGCAGTGTTTGTGTTAGTAACTCGAGGGCAGCTGTGTTGAAAACCTTACTCCACTTAACTTGGGGGTTCAGTGAGATGCACACGGTTGCTGCCAGTTTTCACTACCCATCTATCTACACCTGTGTCGGCCAAACGCTCAGCTAGGTGTAGCCTGTTACAGCTGACGACAAGCTGTTGCCTCACCTTTTATTTTCAAGTCACGTTTTGTCACGCCTGTGGGAATTCCTTTCCCCCAGAGACTGAGTTTCCTGTCCAGAAGTTCACATAAGCATAGCTGTATATAATGCCGTCTTTTGGGTAAGGCTTTTTTCTTCTCTTTCCCTCAGCATATTTTTGAGATTCATCCTTGTGAATGTGTGCAGTCCTCCCACCCCTGAGATTTACATCTAGGCACAGGCTCCGGTCTGCCCCTGAACCATGTCCCCAGCTCAGTTCTTACCTGCTCTGTGGTTGTCCACACCATGAATATTCCATAGTCTGCTGCCCAGGGTTTGTCTGCAGCTGGCTGCTGTGCTGTGAACAGTCTCCTACCAAGTCATTTTGAGACTATGCTTTTATCTGCATTGGGATAGTTCTGTTTAGTTTTTGGCTTTTGTTTTGTTGTAGGTTTTATTTGTTTGTTTGTTTGGTTGGTTTTTTGAGACAGTTTCTCTGTGTAACAGCCCTGGCTACCCTGCAACTCTGTAAATGAGGCTGGCCTCGAGCTCACAGAGATCCGCCCCCCTCTTCCTCACTAGTGCTGGGATTAAAGCGCCCTGCTTGTGGTTGTTGTGTTTTGTTTTTAAAGTCAGGGTTTCATCATGTAGCCCCAGATGTCCTGGAGCTCACTTTGGAACTCCACTTTGTAGACCAGGCTGGTTTCGAACTCACAGATTCATCTGCCCCTTCCTCTGCCTCCCAAGTGCTGGGCTTAAAAAGGCCTGCACCACCACACCTGGCCAGTTCTATTTAGTTTTGTAAACAGTCAACAGCATATGGGTGTGTGTTTCTGTTTCCCTGAATCCTTGCTAATAATTGCTATAAGCAGTTTTTTGTTTTTTTAATGATTGTGTAGCAAAATTAAATTATGAAGCTTTCGAGTCTTTCTGAGACTCCCAATTTAGATTTCCATCATCCTGACAGCTTCCACTTTTTATTTCAAGACATAAGAAATAATATTTTATAAATAGAAAAATATTTATGTAAACATTTTAAGAATTTTTTTGTAATGTGACACTACAATTTTAAATTCCGTAGAAGTTTATACTTTACTATGCTGTAACTAAAAATGACTTTAATGAGTAAAAGTAAAACTTTCCTAAAGTAAATTATTCTGATATTGCTTAATGTTTAAAGTCTTGTCTGTTTTCTGTAGAAACAGAAAATATGATAAAAGTTGAAAGCTTGCTTGCCCCTTGCACCGCAAACTGAAATACATTGAACTGCTGAATGAGGAGAATACACTTAGAAACATATACAAGAAAAAGATAAAGCAGATTTCAGAGACTATTTGTACAATTCTGTTTGCAGCACAAGAAAAGATCTACCTTTGGAACTAGGTTTGATAGACTAAAGCTTGTCAGTGAGTGATATTTGGTGGCAGTAGGGTTTCCTTTAAAAATGCTTAGTAGTAATTGTGAATGGGGCTGGAGTTATAGTTCAGTGTTGTAGCATGTGGTTCAAATACAGGAGGCCCTGGTTGAATCCTCAGTGCACCCCCACATCTTCTCAAATGGCAGGCTGATGCTGGGAAATATTTGATTCTGAAAATTCTTAACTTGTGAGGGGGAAGAAGGAAAAGATAATATTAAAAGCTTATGCTGTCAGTCAAATCACATTTTTTGTTTGGGTTTGTTTGTTTGTTTGCTTGCTTGCTTGCTTGCTTTTGTTTCAGGGCAGGTTTCTCTTTATAGCCCTGGCCGTCCTGGAACTCACTCTGTAGACCAGACTGACCTCAAACTCAGAGATCTGCCTGCCTCTGCTCTGGAGTGCTGGGATTAAAGGTGTGCGCCACCACTGCCTCCTGCCTGGCAAGTCACATTTTTTTTTTTTTTTTGATTTTTCGAGACAGGGTTTCTCCGTAGCTTTTGGTTCCTGTCCTGGAACTAGCTCTTGTAGACCAGGCTGGCCTCGAACTCCCAGAGATCCGCCTGCCTCTGCCTCCCGAGTGCTGGGATCAAAGGCGTGCGCCACCACCGCCCGGCGGCAAGTCACATTTTTAAAAAAAATGTGTTAACATACAGAGTAATGGGTTTCATTATGCAGAGGAGTCTCTCCTAAAAATCTGTGTGCTGTGTGTGTGAAAGAGAGGGAGAGGACTATCCAGAGCCTCGTGAGTGTGGAGGATAGAGGACAACACAGGTATCCATCCTTGCCTTCCCCCTTGCTTTGTGATAGGGTTGTTGTTTCATAATCAAGGATAGCTGTGAGCCCTCTCCTGGGGATTTCTTGTCTGTGGTAGCTCATTGTATGAGCACTTTGATGCGGGCCTGGGATTACTTGGTTCTCAGGGTTTGTGTGAAGTGCTTAACCCACTGAGCCATCTCCCGGCTTCTATCCCCCATTTTCTATTTAAAATTTCAGTGTATCTGTGTAACACACATTATACTAAAATAGTATTTATATAAATATGTTATGATTAATTAGATGAGTTATCATAAACCTCCTTGGTAGTTTGTAAATTAAGTTGGTAAATTAACACCCCCCCCACACACACACATTGGGTTTCTCTGTGTAACTGTCCTGCTATCCTAGAACTCTCTTTGTAGACCAAGTTGGCCTAAACTCACATAGTTTTACCTGCCTCTGCCTCCCGAGTGCTGGGATTAAAGGCTTGCGCCACCAGGCCCAGTTTAACTCTTGATTTCTTTTTGTGTGTAACTAACAAGTAGAGACAAGATTTTTATGCAGTGTTATGTACAGTTGGCATTTAATGAATATTTGTTTTATATATATTAATAAGGCCTGAAATTAACTCAAATTAGTGCAAAACTTTTTTTTTCAGGGAGTAGCTAGAATGAATTGTGTAATATATAATTTGCTGTTTACAAGTAACTGGAACAATTTCTGTTCCACAGTGGTTTCATTAATAAGGGGTTTTTATCACATATAGTTTTGGAAAAGGCAAATGTGTCCTGACTTCTTTGAATGAGGCTTTTTCTGCTACTTATGAGCTCTTACAGGCAGCTTTGAGAATTCCAGGATTCTTTGTCGAAAGGCAAGATAGAGAGGGGGTGGGGGTGTAGCGAATGGAGCATAACTTTTGAATGTGGGCCCTTCTTTGATGAGGGAGATGACAGTACTTCTCAGTCCTCACAGGTAACACTGACATTAAGCCATCCAGGCCTGTAGAACCCCATGCTCATCTTGATGCTGAGAGCCACTTGTGGGTGTTGAGCTTGTAGAGGAGAAGCTGCTCTGAGTTAAGGTGTACTGTAGCTAGAAGATATCACCCAGGTTTGGGGAATGTAGTGTTTTTCAAAAACCTTAGTAATCTTAGAGGTGGTATGGGTTAAAATAATATTTTGCACATACTACACTAAATAATATGTCAGTGTGGATCTGACTTCTTTTTGGTGCTGGGGACTGAATCCAGAGCCCCTTGTGCTGTGTGCTCTACCGACGTGCTATTCTCAGTCTCCACTTCCCACTGTGTCTGCTTGAATGTTTGAAATCATTTCTGTGGCTTCTGTTGTATTTTTCTGGATAGCATCTTATCCAGAAGGCTGGTCTGAACCAGAATCAGAAGATATATGTCCCTGAGATTCGTGTTTTGTGATCCCTAATGAATTGTGAAGAACTGATGTAATGATTCTATTTAGCAGAGATGGCTCAACTTTAACAGCATAGTTTAAGATTTCAGAGACTGGTTCAGTTGACGTCTTTAAGCTGTAATTGACGTTCTTTTGTTTTGCTCTGTTTTGTTTTTAAGACAGGATTTCTCTGTGTAAC